TTTTGTAGACGAAGCTCATAAATTCTGAATCCTGCTAACCCCAAGGCTAGGGGATGGGATGCACGCCCATGGACCCAAAGAAACAGTGCCCTTTCACTCCCCCAAATCTCTGTGCTGCTCACGTGAATGCATCTGGTCAAAGGTGAGAAAGTCAATTTACAGACCCAGCATGTGACGGCTCTTGGCAGCTTTGACACCACGTAGTAGAGGGTCTGGAGGCCCCTCAGTACAAGCCTGGACAAAAGAGCTTCAAAAAGATCTCCACTCAGAGAATATGACTTGTGTTCTCTACAGCAACAGAAGACACAGGGCCTTGTATCTGATTCCAAGAATAAGAAACCCAAGGGTCAAGAAGTGGAGGCTGCCAGCCTAGTGGCAGGGCAAAACAAAAAGAAGTAAGTTCCATTTCCACCAGTCAGAGGACAAAGGCTCTAACAGGTAAGAAAGCTGAAGTCTGTGGCTGGAGCCAGCAGTGACGGCAGGATAATCCTCTGTTTGGCATGCCAAAAATCTGTGCGTTTCCACGGGTCAAGCAGACACTCTAGGAAGTAATTGTGCTGGAGAAGCCATCTTGATGTGATTTCCCAAAAAAGGCAGACTGGCAGAGCAAAAGCACTCCTGTGCTTTCAGGGGCTGGAGCTGAGATAGAGGCCAAGAGTTCAGAAAAACAAAATATAAAATAGCTAGACAAGCACAACAACATATACATATAAATGACCTTGTAAGTTATAAACTAGAATACTCAGGCCAGCCTCAGTGGCTCATGCCAGTAATCCCAGCACTTTGGGAGGCGGGGGCGGGTGGATCACTTGAGGTCACGAGTTTGAGACCAGCCTGGCCAACATGGTGAAACACCCCTCTCTATTAAAAATACAAAGATTAGCCGGGTATGGTGGCACGCATCTGTAGTTCCCAGTTACTCGGGAGGATGAGGTGGGAGAATCGCTTGAAGCAGAGAGGCAGAGGTTACAGTGAGCTGAGATCGTGCCACTGCACTCCAGCCTGAGCAACAGAGTGACAGTGAGACCTTGTATCAAAAAAAAAAAAAAAATTAACAGAAAAATAATGGTAACTTATTCTTACTTAGTATAAACAAAAACCTATTTTAAAGTTATAGTAGGTGGTATTGGCACAGAAATAGATCAGTGGAACAAAAGAGGAAGTTCAGAAATAGACTTTAGTATATGATTCAGTATATGATTTCAAATCACTAATGGAAAAAAACAGTCAATTTTTTTTTTTTTTTTTTGGAAACAGGGTCTTGTTCTCTCACCCAGCCGGAGTGCAGTGGTATGACCACGTCTCACTGCAGCCTCACCCTTCCCTGTTCAAGGGATCCTCCTGCTTTGGCCTCCCAAGTAGCTAGGACTACGAGTGCACACCACCACACCTGGCTAATTTTTGTATTTTTAGTAAAGATAGGGTTTCACCATGTTGGCCAGGCTGGTCTTGAACACCTGGCCTCAAGTGATCCACCCGCCTTGGCCTCCCAAAGATTACAGGCATGACCCACTGCACCTGGCCCCTGCTAATTCTTATTTTTTGTAAAGATGGGGTGTTGTCGTGTTGCCCAGGCTAGTCTCAAACTCCTGACCTCAAGTGATCCTCCCACCTCAGCCTCCCAAAGTGCTGGGATTACAGGCGTGAGCCACTGCTCCTGGTCTCAATGACTATTAATAGGACAACTAGCCAACCATTTAGCAACAATTTTTATTTAAAAAGATACCTTCCCCAGCCTCACTCCCTATCCTAAAATAAATTTTAGATGGACTAAAATTTTTAAATGTTTTTTAAAAATGCTAGATTATATTTAGTGCCTTGAGATTAGAAGGTCCAACATAAGGGAAAAGTGATAAATTTGACTACACAAATTTAAAATTTTTGTGTGGCAAAATATAATACAAACAAGGTTTAAAAAAAGGTCATCATTTTTAGAAATTATAAACTAGAAAAATTGTTTACAAAATACATGACAGGAATTAAAATTACTACAATATAAAGAGCTTTTTCAAATCAATCAAAGACAAATAGATCAAGTACTGAGAAAAAGACAACTCACAAAGACAGAATTACAATTGGCCAATCAACAAGCAAAAATAATCAGAGAGATGCAGGCAAAAGATTGAAACATCCTTCTTCACATACCAGATTAATCAAGATTAACATTACAACAGCACTCAGTGGCATTGAGGCTTTCTGCTGGTGAGAGTATAAATTTTTGTATAAATTTTTGCGTAAAACTCTTCCAGCAATCTGCACTGTAAAATGTACATAGTTTCCATTCCGTTTACTTCCAGGAATGTGGCCTGAGTGATAGTTGCATACCTTCATAAAGACTTTTATAAGGACAATAAACATCTGAAAATATTCTAAATGCACAACGGCGTATTAGTTAAATGAAGTATGGTACAAACTTATAATGCAGTCATGAGTGACATGAAAAATGTGGCCAAGAAATGTTGATGAGTGAAAGAATCATGTTACAAAACCACACACACAATTTGACTCCATTTGGGTAATCCTGAGTTGAGTTTGACTCTATTTTGGTAACCCTGAGTTGAGCCCAAAAAGTGTGGATCTAAATGTGCATGCCCCATCCCCCGACCCACAACACACACACTCTACCCCCACCCCGAAAGCATTCACTCTCTCTGAAACAAGAGCACACGTTGCCTTTTAAATTGACTTGCTTCATTGGCTCACCCTCTGACAAACTGGGGCACAGAAAAGGCCATACCCTCCCTCCCCAGAAGCAGGCACTGCTTGTTTGGTTCAGTCTAACCAACAAAGGATGTGGTAGGTAAAACGTTCTTACAACGCTATTTGATTGACTTCTATGAGACCATTGAGTTCCTCTTAGAAGAACAGAATGGGAAAACAGAAGGTTTAGAAAATCAGAATGTGAGATTAGCAATGAAAAGGAAGCACTGAAGGTTCTTTTTTATTTCCTTTAAAATCACTTTAAATATTAACTTTATTCCAAGCTAAAGCGGAATTTCAAGATAATCACTTCCGCTCTGGTCTTACCTTACATGCCCCACTGCAACTTCAGGTCTTGAGTCAGAGAACAGACTATTTTCTCTTCCCCTTAATTAACCTCCATCCATGTGCTCGGTTGTTTGTGGCTCCTTCTAGAAGGGATGGGTGCAGGTGCCTTACAGTGAAAAGACAGGTATACATACACACATACTGTATATATATATATGTAGTTTGGAAATTCAAAGGCCCGACATTTCTGGGAACCAAAAAGGCTGTCCAAAGATTAGTTCCATAGCTAGCTCAAGGGCTTTCAAATGCCAGAAAAGAGAACTAGGGCAGCCAGAAGACTTGGTCCCGCAATTGAAGTATCAACACTGAGAAATTCTGTGTTATAATTTGCAGCAGTTACAGGAAATCCCAAAGTCTACATTTTTGCTATTTTAGTAAATATTTTTGGATCTCACTCTATCACGCAGACTGGAGTGCAGTGGTGTGACCATGGCTCACTGCAACCTCAAACTCCTGGGCTCAAGCAATCCTCCTGCCTCGGCCTCCTGAGTAGCTGGGATTACAGGTGCACACCACCATGCCCGGCTAATTTTCAAAACTTTTTTTGCAAAGATGGGGTCTCGCTATGTTGCCAGGGCTGGTCTTGAAGGTCTCCCAAAGTTTAGTAATCTTATATGAACTGCTTTTACTTTTCTCCATTGTACCCAGAAGATGATGTTTTACTTAATATTTGGTCAGTTATTTTAACCAGAAACTTTTAATACTAAGCAAGGGGGGTTTCTTCCTTTCTATAACAATTATGCTACATTCCATGTGGACAACTGTATCTTTGGCAGTTAATTCTAGAGCTGGAAATTAGGGAAGGGGGTGGTATGGAAGCATACAGCATTTACAAAACTGGCAAAAAATAAAATAAGTCAAGGGGAGGCTCAGATTCTGTCTTTGGACAAAGATGGGCTTTGAGGAAAGATCCTTACTCATCAGAGGCCCTGCTCTACACTAACCACAATAATTTGTATTGACACCCAATTTATTCAGGAGCTATAAAAACAGTATGTTTGCATTATTGCACATAAAAATTAAAACTTGAGAGCTATTTGTTATCCATCTATTGAGAGAAACGGTCTCTGGGGGTTAGGATGGGGACCTGTCCCCATTATAGACCTGTTCTGGTCTATAATTTACCTAAGATGAGAGCAGAAAGGGTTTTAAATGTTGATCCTAAGTTGTCGTCGGAGGGCAGTACCCCAGAGGACAGGAGAATCGTTCCTAATACTGGCAGGGGCCCGGGGCTGACAGCTGGCATTGAACACCCGAGTGTCAGGATATTACTCCCCTCTCTCTAATTCTCCCCAGTAGAGTGGATACACTCTGGACTTCCTAGGGTGGAGCAGCTACATGGGCAACTTCTACTTGTTCCTCTTGTCTTTTCATCTGCCCATAAGCCCAAGGCACTCAGAGTCATCCCTCACTGACACCCAGCAAGCCGGTGAACACACCAGCCCACTATAAAAGGGTGCCCCCTTTTGCTAAGAACTGTGTCTTGAGGCTGTGCAGTATCACCGTCCCCCTTTCCCCTCCTCCGTGGCTTTTCTTCTCTAGGCCTAGCAAGCAAGGGAGAAGGAGCGATGCCAGAAACCTCTGTCTTTCCTTCCCCATTCGTTTCTTACTGAGTCTTGGAGTTAAGTTGTTTGTTAGGGCCGGGCGCATGACTCACACCTGTAATATCAGCACTTTGGGAGGCCAAGGTGGGCGAATCAACTGAGATCGGGAGTTTGAAACCACCCTGGCCAACATGGTGAAACTCTGTCTCTACTAAAAATACAAAAATTAGCTAGGCATGGTGGGGGGGCCCTTTAATCCCAGCTACTTGGGAGGCTGAGGCAGGAGAATCGCTTGAACCCAAGAGGCAGAGGTTGCAGTGAGCCAAGATCGCGCCACTTCACTCCAGCCTGGGCCACAGAGTGAAAGCCCATCTCAAAAAAAAAAAAAAAAAAAAGGAAAGAATGTCAATTCAGGATTTAAAAGTATAATTAAATAGACTCCATCTGTCAACTCAGCATATTCAGAGTAGGCCAAATCTCAGTTTCTAACAGGGGGCAAAGAGCATTTTTAGAAGATGCTTAGTAACAAAAAATTAACCAAGGGAAGAACAATCTTAATTACAGGATATTTTTACTGGAATGTAGACATTACTTTTGAATATATAGGACAATAAGAATTGTATCAAAGCAATGCTGCCTAACAGACACAGCAGGAAACTTATTGGCATGGCCAGGCTAGTATAATTTCTCATTAGTATATCAACTAATTGTAGGAAAAGTACTGTTTCTAAAGTGCTTGAAACGTTTGCCTACATCATTGTTCTCTTTTTCAATGACCTCCTTCATAAAGTCAAACTCTAGCCCAAACTTAAGCCTATCTCACTGCATATTGTAAAAAATGGATTCGAAATGAATTAACAGAGATGCTTATATAGGAGGTTGCAGAGATTCTCTTGCAGTGTCTGGAGGAGCTGAGCCTCAGGCATCACTCAGAGGAAGTCCCAGCCAAGATTCACAGATCTGTAGCCTTTGGTCAATATCACACTGTACATCAGGAGTCTCAAGTTCATTGCACAGAACTGGTCCTGTAGCAGGGAAGACTCAGAATTCCTGAGTTTTCTCCTTTTGAGGGACTTCACAGGGATAGCCGCCATCTTGAATCCAGGAAGGGGGCCCAGCTGGGAATGGAGAAAGTTGCAGGCCCACATGCTCCCTGGACGGAAGTCACACGGGGCCTCTGTGTGGGCACCTGAGAAGCTGCCAGAACACCTGCCCCAGCAGCAGTGCATCCTCCCCACTCAGTGTCCATCTGCCATCTAGACATGAAGGAGGAAAAGAAAAGAGACAAATATGAACACACTTTGGTTTTCCACTGTGTGTCTCTATGCGCAGTTCACATGCACACCCATGGGAGGAGGCGAGGGGGAGCAGCATGGAAGCTCAGCCACCACTCTGTGTGTGACTAGGGCAGCCATCACTGGTCCTGCTCTTTTCCTGGGAAAGCATCCCCCATGCTACCTGGAGGTACAGGGTTAGTCATGCTTTTCACCGCTGAGTGTGCTCTGCTGAGCCAAGGACAACCTCCACCCACACTCCCTTTGACTCTCCTCATCTCCAGCTGTTCTTCATGACTCTGACCCATCCTCCCCTCCATTCCACTCATTTCTCAAAAATGACAGCCTCACATACCACACCGCTGAGAAGGAGAGGAATGTAAGAATGATCACAACAGCCATAGAGCCCAGTCCAACACCCGCCATCTGCAGCAGTGTGAGTGACGAATCTGTGGGACAAAACCACATGCTTAGCCCAGAGTGCAGGGCATGACCGCCTCCCAGGAGGCACACACCCCACTGTGCTCAATCCATTTTAACCCAGAGCTTGGCCCCATTTAACAAAGAATCCTAAGAATGCCCAGCGTGCCTGTGTGTTCCCTGAGTTGGCCCTGTGGATATGCAGCCTCAGGAAATTACAGTTACAGGGTATTTCTGAAAAGGAAGTGTAAAGCCAGACCATGTTAAAGTTACAAGGAAGAAAAAGGCTGATCTTGTTGAGCATACAAATACTACACAACATGTTACATTTTTTGTTGGTCCTTTCGCAAGTCAATTACACATGATAGATTTTTATGGGCCGTTTTTTTTTTGCATGGAGGGGCAAGTCATTATGATATTATTTGAATTTGGGTTCCAAAAGTGATAGCCCTGATGGTCAGATATAGCAAAGGAATATCCTTTGTTGAGTCACCTGTCATTTTCTCTACACCTCAACAAGGATCATACCTCCCTGCTCTGCTCAGCAGGTTTACTGAGAGGATAAAATAAGAAAATTGATGTAAAAGTACTTTGAAAGACATACTTTCTATTTGGGGACCATCATATGCCAACTCCAGGGAGATCTCCAATCATAAACTAAAAAACACTCACAGTTGAGTTGCACATTTGGACCAAGTGACTGACTTAGAGAGTCATGTTCTAGATTAGAGCAAAAATTTCATTTTAATTTGCAAACATTTATTTAGCACTTACTATGTGCCAGACAGTGTTCTAAGCACCTCACACGTATTAACTCATTTAGTCTTCTAACCAGCCTTTACATTGGGTACTATTATTATTCCCTTAAGAAACCAAGGTGGGAGTGGTTAAGTACAACTTAGGTCTTTACAGCCAGGTTAAGAGGAGTGCATTTCTATTGGAAACTGTGTACAGTACCCAGCACTAGTAAGACCAGCCAGAGAATACACCTTGTGTTAAACAGCCCTGCAGAACTTGAAACCACCTTTGCAAAAATTATAACTGAGAAAATTATAACAGTGAAAGAGATCTGACCTAACTGACTCCATCTTGCTTCTAATCTCCAAGTTGTCCTTGTTCATTCCTGGGCGTAGGCTGAACTAACTTTGGGAGGAACTCAGTTTATAGTTTAACTTTGAAACAAAGACAATAACAGCCCTTTCCCCAAACAAATCCCCATCCTATCTGGGGACTAGACTGCCTTTGCAAGACTAACAAATAAATTAGCCATGAGATTAGAAATTATGGTTTAGGAGTCCTACAGCTGGAAGTTGCAAGATTCTGAACCTCTCAAATTGCTCCTAGGGCTAACATCACTATTATAAAACCTAAGATCAATGCTTGAGATATTTTCCAGACCCCGGACTCCATGGATCAGCTGGCATCACCCAGATCCATAAACTGGCTCATCTGATCCTATGGCCGCCACCCAGAAACTGACTCAGTGCAAGAGACAGCTTTGACCCTCTATGATTTCATCTTCAACCCAACCAGTCAGCACTTCTGACTCACTGACCCCTTACCCCTTACCCCCTACCCACTAAGTTATCCTTAAAAACCCCATCCCCGAATTTTCAGGGAGACTGACTTGAGGAATAATAGAACTCCATTCTCCCATATAGCCGGCTGTGTGGGAATCAAACTCTTTATTGCAATTCCTCTGTCTTGATAAATCAGCTCTGTCTAGGCAGCAGGCAAGAAAAACTCATTGGGCGGTTACTAATTATCAAAAAGTGCTGCCAAGAGCCTTTCTGGAAAACATGGCTTATATTATTTGGTTGCTTTTAGTCTTTAGAAGAAAAATGGCCTTGATACTTTAAGAAGCTAGATTACTTATTTTGTTTTATTTGATTTTTATTTATTATTATTTTTTTGAGACAGAGTCTTGCTCTGTCACCCAGACTGGAGAGCAGTGGCGTGATCTTGGCTCACTGCAACCTTCACCTCCCAGATTCAAGTGATTCTCCTGCCCCAGTCTCCCTAGTAGCTGGGACTACAAGGCATACTCCACCACGCCTGGCTAGTTTTGTATTTTATTAGAGACACGGCTTCACCATGTTGGCCAGGCTGGTCTCAAACTCTTGACCTCAGGTGATCTGCCCGCCTTGGCCTCCCAAAGTGCTAGAATTATAGGCATGAGCCACCATGCCTAGCCAAGAAGCTAGATTATAAAATGGAAGGAGAAACAGTGATTAAATGAAGAATTAGTAAAGAAAAAAATGTTAGGAGAGTGACTTGAATCGCAAGATAGTGAAACAGTGCAGTATTAGAATAGCAATTAATACATTGGAACAAAATAGCCTAGAACCAAATCCAAGTATATCAAATGCTTTCAAAGATTGAATACTGGAGTCAGATGTCCAAGTCTTTATCTGAACACCACCACTGCCTGTGTGACTTTGTGCAAGTTATTCATCCATTCTGTGCCCTCAGTCCCCACACTGAGGGATGCTGTAATAATATGGGAATGATAGCAATACTACCCACCTCTAGGTAGTGCGAGAAATCAGTGAGTTAGTACAGGTTGAAACAGTGCCTGGCACAGAATAAGCGATAAGCAAATGTTAGCAATTGTTAATTATTGTTGTTTTTGTTGTTTTGATACTGTTTCAGATCATTGGGGAAATGATAAATTATTCATAACCAGTGCTGAGAAAATTGGCTAACCATTTAGAATCAAATAATTTTGATCACTAGAGCTTATACCATATACCAAAATAAAATCCAGATGGATTACAGACTTAAATTGAAACCTAAAAGGATTAGGAAATGTTAGTGAATATTTGCCTAATATTAAAGGGGGTAAGAGATTTCTAAGCCTATTTGTTAACACAGAAACCTTAAGAGAATGAGAGATTTAACCATTTTGAAAAGCATGCACTTCTTATACCAAAAACTACCAGAAGCAAGATTAGAAGGCAAATGGCAAACTGGGTAAAATATCTAGAATAATGGGTAAGAAGTTAACATATAGAGAGTGCTACAGATTAATAAAGGCATACCTCAATAGCAAAATGAACAAATTCTATGAAAAGGTAAATCATATGTAAAACATGATTACAGATGATCAATAAAACTTTGATCAAATGCTCTCTTACAAGTAATAAAAATGCAAATTAAGGCATTAAGATGCCATCTTTGTGCATCACTCAAACATTTTTTAAAATGCCATCTTGGTGGACTAATTAACTAGATTTGTTTTGTTTTGTTTTTAAGAGAAAATACAATTCTGGAGATGGACGGGGGAGCTGGTACTTTCCTGCACTGGTATTTCATCCAATCTACCCAGTATTCCCTCCAACATCCATCATCAATTTTTTTCTGTGTATTTTTTCCTCTACACTTTTACCCTCTATATATTTTAATCACTGATTGATGAATATGTTGAACTGAAGATGACTGTGGACAGAGATCCATATCATGCATATTCTTGGGTTTGATTTCATCTCATTTATAATTGTTTTTTTTTTTTTTTTTTTTTTTTTTTTTTGAGATGGAGTCTCACTGTGTCACCCAGGCTGGAGTGCAGTGGCGTGATCTCGGCTCACTGCAAGCTCAGCCTCCCAGGTTCACGCCACTCTCCCGCCTCAGCCTCCGAGTAGCTGGGACTACAGATGCCCGCCACCATGCCCAGCTAGTTTTTTGTATTTTTAGTAGAGATGGGGTTTCACCATGTTAGCCAGGATGGTCTCGATCTCCTGACCTCGTGATCCACCCGCCTCAGCCTCCCAAAGTGCTGGGATTACAGGCTTGAGCCACGGCGCCCGGCCGACATTAATAATTGTTAATGAGTTGATATCAACTGTGCATAGTGATTCAGCTTGTTTCTAAGCCCACATACAGCCCTCATGTTCCCACATTGTCCACAAGGACATTATTGTTTGTTGAAGCCAAAATACATTATGCGTGCCATATTTCCCTGACCAATTACTGACTCTGTGCAAGAAGAAATGGAAAGCAATCTGAACTAATCTGCTCTTAAAGCTCCTGACTCCTGGGAACTGCTGTTTTTTCTACCAGGGATACATAAGCCATCATTTGAAGACCTTGCCTTGCCTTGACTTCAAGTTACCATCATCTACACTTCTGGTGGCTCTTCCTTTGTACAATATTCCTTGTTCTTTGCTCATCTCTAGTCCTCTCACATCTCTCCATTTTCTTCAAGATTTATCAAAAATCATTTGCAATGGCTTATCCATCTCATGTGAAAATTGTATGAACCTGCCAGAATATGCTTCATCCGTGTTGGAAGACTTGAACCTATGTAGGGTAGTGAGCTCTTTTCTTTCTTCTAACCATCCCCTCACAAACCAAGAGGACAGAATAAGGAGGAGTTAAGGAAGCTGACTTTCTCTTGACCATCCACCAGGAGGATCCACCTGGGTGCAACTATTCGTTACTCTAGACACAGTATTGGAAAATAATCTTTATTTCTTCTGCATAGCACAATTTGGGTTTGGCTCCAGGAATGATTCTTGCTGGTAGACCAGTTCCTGGTTATATGTCTTTTTGTCTACTTTGCATATATACTCTGAAAATCTGAGTCAATCTAATCAAGAGTGCTCACAAGTGTTGCCACACAAGCTTCTTTAGAGATTTCCTCATTAATTCCTTACTAAGAAAATTTACAACTGGCAAATTTGAATTGTATTTCTTATAGCCTCACCATCCCTTGGTTACCCTACCTTTCCATGGTCTCATGCCAGAGAACCATGTTTATTTTTCTTCTGAATCACTTGTAGAATATATTTTTACAAACCCAAGTGAATGAATCATGTGTTATATGGCAGATCAGTTACTCAATCTTGGAGAAAGTAAACCCATTAGGACTAAACTTCACCATTCTCTTTATGGTGGCTCCCTCAAGAGAGCTAGCACTCAGGAGGAGGGATGGAGCCTTTCCGGACTTATCTTTAACCCCCTCCCTGATAGAAATATCACATGCTGAAGAGGAAGTTAGAAAGGTCCTATTTCTACTCTCAGACTTTGT